AATGTTTTTGAAGCACAGATTTCTTGTACTTTAAAACTTTTAAAAGCACTTGCTCTTTTTTTATACGGTACTTTTGCTCGTCTATTTAGTTTCGATTAATACAGATATCGTTTGCTAACTAATATAATGGCCTAACTCAATAAAGTGCGAAATGAGAGAAAACAAATTATGTACAATTTTATTTTTTTTTTATAAAGGATATTCCACTTGAACGAGGAAAATAATAGCAGCAAAAATATAACAAACATAATACTCTGACAATGATTTGGTGTCTTGCTTTGGCAAATTAATTATTTTCTATTTACTATATTTTTTATTAGCAATGTAAGGAAGAGTTAAGTTCCAAAATTCTCTTCCAATTGAGAGACAATTGGCAAATAAATTATTATGGCAGTCATTTTTGCACAATGAGCTAAAAAAAACATCTTCTGGATTATAACGTAGCAGTCGAGTGATACAATACATACATACATACATATATGCGTTTGTAAACCTAAAGCATATATAAAATTCTGATGCCGATAACTTTTCTATCCTTAAGTTTTCCATTAAAGGTTTTACATTGTTTTTTTAAATTTTTTCACGCTTTTCCAAGAAGAACAAGATAGGATGTTGTTCTTAATAAAATCATTTGTCACTCTGTATTTTTTGTTAGCACATATTTACATATGTATGTATTCAATGTTTAGCAAGCTTTTCAAATCATTTCAATTCAAGCTAAAGGGATATTTTCCTCACAAAGGAAGCCTCCCATTTCTTTTACTGCACCACCGATTTCTGCGTTGAATACTTCAAGGGCTGGAGCGTTTGTGTCTGCGGTATTCGCCAACGCGCAAGGTAGATAAATTTTCCACACAATCTTTTTTACGAAAATCGAGTGCCAACTGTTTCTATAGCTTCTTTAATAAGTGTCTCAAAGATTTTTCCTCCTTCGTTTGAGTGGGTGCATTCATATACGAATTCGTATTCGTATTAGTCTTCGCATTCATCTTCGTTTTCGTTTTAGTCGTTATTCCTCCTCGGATCCTATGAGTATTATTATTTTTCGTATTAGTCATCGTATTCACCTCCGTATTCGTTGTTTTCGTATTTATCTCCGCATTTATCTTCGCATTCGTTTTCGTATTCGTATCATTTCTGCTATTATATTGGTTTTTGGAATCATCTTACTCTTCACCGTATTCTTCTTCCTACTAATGCTGATCTTTGGGTGCGTCTTCGTATTTGAATTCTTCTTGATATACATCTTCGTCGTCATCTTGTGTGCTGAACTACGCTGGCATATTCGTATTTGTCTTCGTCTTCATATTCGTGTTCGTCTTCGTCTTCGTATTTTCTTCGTATTCGTCCTCCTTCTCTCATTCATGTTCACAATCGTCTTCCTACTCAACCTTTCATTCTCATATTCGTATTTTTGATGAAATACGCCTTCGTACTTGTCTTAGTCTTCATATTCGCCTTCCTACTCGCATTCGTGTTCGCAATCGTTTTCCTACTCGTCCTTGCATTTTTGTTCGTATTCGTCATCGTTTTCGCAGTCAACTTCATATTCGTCTTCCTACCCGTGTTTCTATCTGTCTTCGTATTCGTGTTCGTCTTAGTCGTCGTATAGGTCTTCGAATTCGTCTTGGTGTTCAAAAACAAATACACCGTAAGCATATCAAGTACAGCTCCAATTAAAGAACTTGCAACAAAAACTACACATAAACGCGGATATCTTTATATGGCGATTGAAGCCGTAATTATAAGTTAATGTTGAAGCCAAAAAAAAACTTTCATCATCTACATAATCGGTCCAGTAGAACCGACGATACACGGAGGCGGACCAAATATATGTTATATGAATAAGTTGCCTACTGAGGACGATTATGTATGTACCCTTGCGGTCAGCTGATTAAGTCAAGTCACATTTTGACTAGTTTTGGATATTTATCTTTTGTTTATTGTTTTTGTTTTTGTTTATATTTTTTTTAAAGCCTATTTCTTTACCTAACCAACGCCACATAAATACACATTTCAAACTTCGTACAAAAATTTTAAAAATTCAACAAACTTAAACGTTTGCACCCGAAAATTTTCAACTTTCTGTTCAGAATTAAAAAAAAATTTTGTAGCTCATTAAATTTTGGTAGATTAAGGTGCAAATTTCAAGACGCTAGAAAATCGCTTTGATTTTTAATCTTTTTTTGGCTGATTTTTAATAATTTTTTTGTTGATTTATGTGGCGCTGGTAAGTTAATTTGCTAAAAAATATAAACACTAAATAAACAAGAGAAAAATAGCCAAAACAAGTCAAAATGTCACTTGTCTTAATCAGCTGACCACAAGTGGATATCTAAATCGCCCGCAAATGCCAACAATTGTACATTCTTATACAAAGTTGTTCTTATTCTCTCATTTAATATTAGATAAAATAATTCGCATGTTTGAGAATCGTCCTCTCTGTAACCTCGTTTAGTGGGAATTGGCTCGGATATATATTCACTTTTTCCTGACAGAGTTGATTGTTTTGCAACTTTTCGATGGGCGATTTTGCAAAGGCATCGGCGATATATATGTTTTTAAGTTCAAAAGCAGTGTTTAAAGCTTTTAATTTCTGCCATGGTTGACACGTTCTGCTGTTAAAATTTTATCGGGTGCTTTTTAGCTTTAGAAATGACTGCTATCAATGTCAACTTTCCATAAACGGTAGAAAGATGTAAGTCACCGAAATCCGGAAATGACTACACAGATGTCAGTTAAGTACCTTAAAACTTTTTCTTTAATGATAGTTGGGGCAGTTTCGACACACTGTTCTGTTGGAAGGCTTGAACCAACTTGGGACTGTATATTTTAAAGTATGATTTGTCACCACTGCTTTTTCTTAGTAGACATGTGTGTTATACTTTTATATTTCAATAGATACTATACAAGTGCTATTTTGGTTGCGGTAGGCAATTGAAAACCGAAGCTATTTCTCGATGAAGAAAAGTTAGGGTAATAAAACTTTCACGCTCTTTTATATAGCGCAGAAATATGGACGATGTCGACCAAAGCTGAAGAGGTTTTGCGTGTTTTGAAGAGAGCTCTTTGGCCCTGTCTGCGTGGGCGACGGGCACCGAATAAGGCGGAATTATCAATTATATTGACCACATATATAGTGTGTATATCAAGCTGATATATGGGTGTTTCCATGAAAATGTCAACTAGGACTGAAAAAATAAAAACAACTGAAAACGGTTTTTAAGACGAATTAATAAGAGAAAAATACTCGAATTTTTATATTATAGAAGTATTTCAGCTTATTGGAATTTTAAACTCAAAAATGGAAGAGTAAAACTGAATGTTTCTTCGACTCAGTTTTCTCTAATGAAATGAACTATTTTCTCTTTCCTATTAACTAAATTAAGAGATTTGAAACATTACAATTACATCTTAAAATCAAATTTGCAATAACAACTAACTATAAAAATGAGAAAAAGGAGAAGTTAGAGCTCGAATAACGGTAATTTTTTGATTTGCTTCTGATAGTATTCTAATGTCGCGTACGTTATGCAAAAACATTGTTTGTCTATGTCATTTGTATATTGGCAGTCGCAGGTAATGCAGATTACAATTCTTAAGCGAGAATTCTTCTAGTTAAAGATATACAGTAAAATTTTCTTTCCAACCGAAGTAAAAATATATTTTATTACCCTTTAAAGTTTGTCGCATACGTTATTGTAAGTACGAAAATTTCAATCCAATACATCAAAACCAATGTTAATTGCAAATTTTCCATTTAAATTATAGAATAGTTGTAAAACAATGAAACGGTGGCGGGAAGAGTTCTCAATAAATACATTTTGTTACTTACGAGAAAAATTGTCGCGTACGTTATTGTTTTTTTTTTTTTAATATAAAACTAGCCAGAGATAATTTCTCTTAAAATATGAAAGGATTGTAAAGGTACATTATTTAGCTTAGTTTAGGAATTTTTAAGGAAGAGAAAAACTCCCATGATTCGCAGACTTTCGCATATATGTATATGTGCCTTAAAACCACTTCTTTTTTTATCGCGTACGTTATCACCTGGTTTTGAACGGATATTTTCCACACCAAAGTTTCGAGGCTGCTTATTTTTTTCTCAAACATAGTACCCTTTAGTTGAAACATAACCGTAATCTTTTTTTTCTGTAACTTCTATTTTTGATAGATTTACGTTAATCTATAAGAGTACGAAAGTCGCGTACAGCTGTATGGAAACACCCNCACACCAAAGTTTCGAGGCTGCTTATTTTTTTCTCAAACATAGTACCCTTTAGTTGAAACATAACCGTAATCTTTTTTTTCTGTAACTTCTATTTTTGATAGATTTACGTTAATCTATAAGCGTACGAATGTGGCGTACAGCTGTATGGAAACACCCATATACAGTTGTGGAAGAAATAATAGAAACTTTTTACTTTGACCAGTTTTGGCTATATTACTTTGTTTACTCGACATTTAATATTTTTGTATAAAAGTCTAGCGCAATATATAACACACACTATATAAATGCATATTTCAAAGTTTGTACAAAAATTATAAAAATTCAACAAATTTTAACAAAATCCCTCAAAAATTTCAAACTTTTTAATCAGATTTTTTTCAAAATTTTTGGGTAGGCAATTTTATAGCCCATTAAATTTTAGTAGGTAAAAGTGCAAACCGCAAGACTCTAGAAAATCGCATTGATTTTTAATATTTTTTTTAAGTTTGAAATTTTCGGGGGATTTTGATAAAATTTGTTGAATTTTTATAATTTTTGTACAAACTTTGAAATGTGGATTTATATGGTGTGTGTTATATATTGCGCTAGACTTTTATACAAAACTATTAAACATCGAATAAACAAAGTAATATAGCCAAAACTGGTCAAAGTAAAAAGTTTCTATTATTTCTTCCCCCACTGTATATAGCTAGTCTACTTCTAATATATACACGTATGAAAAATAAAACCGGTTAATGCAATTTAATTTATTTAATAAATTGTACCAGCATTTCTAAAAATATTTTGCTTTATTGGCTTATTTTCCAATTTCCTCAACAACTACTATTTCATTTTTTCTCCATTGCAACCTCACAAATCGACACGTCGCGCACCATTGCTCGGTATACACATGTAGAATCCCAAATGGTCAGCGGCTTCTTTATTAAATTCTTTAATGAAATTTGTACGCATCGTCGCAATCACATCGTCAACGGCATTGCGTTGCAGTAGCGTAACGGTGCAGCCACCGAAGCCACCGCCAGTCATACGTGATCCCAAAACACCAGAACAATTAATGGCCGCATCGACCAGGACATCCAATTCACGGCAGGATACTTCGAAATCGTCACGTAGTGATGTATGTGACTCTTTCATTAGTGCGCCCATCTGGTAATGACGTTTATAGTGGTGGTGACGTAGGCGTCGACAGCGGCGGCGAAGGCACGTAGATTTCAGCAAAGCGATGTTATTGTAAGTAGAGCGTAGAGAAAAGCAATAGCATTCCAAATGAAAGCAACAGCAGCATTTAATAGCGCGTCGTTGTGGGAACACGTAGTAGACATCCATGGCGTATGAGTTACCGGAAGAGCGATACATGAAAAGAAATAAAAACAATGGAAAAAATTGGTGGATAGTTAAGGTGTGTAGGTCGTAAATGCATTCAAGTGCGTGTTGCTATAGGGAAAAGTTAAAATTAAATTACCTACTTATTTGCCGGCATATAGGGTGATTATAAATAGCTTATGAATATATAGTTCTCAAGCGTATTACTTACTTAGAAATTAGTTACAATACCAAAATCGCTATTAGAGTTAGAAACTCAGTTACATATACATATCTTGTTTTAAGTAAAGTCGTTGAAATTAAATGCATTTTTTTTTCAAATTCGATTTTTATTTTGTAATTCTTTATTCGTATGATACAAATACGTTAAAAAATGGAACGCAGCTTCTCTGAGTTTCATTGGATTGATAAAATTGTGTTCCTCATGTTCGACGGCTATAAATAAATGCTCATCCTTTAAACACTAATTTCTTATATAATAGAAGATAGTTTGCTCTTTGTTGTGTGACGGAAACCCTTAAAGTCTTAAAATTACCCTGATTTCATTCTTATGAGCTTTTAAGACAAATGCAGAACACAAAATGAAATAGAGAACATTTTTCGTCCCATATAAATAAAATAAGTTGTCTGGTAATTTTTCAAGAAAGAAAGAAAGAAGAACAGATTGTCATCGCATGTATAAATTATTTAATTAAAAAGGTTTATATAATGAACCTCCATAAGTCACAAACGAAGCAAAGAACGAGCTAGGACAGTTCTGCTCTCGGCCATACCGAAATCTTTATACCTTTCATGAATGAAAGAAAATTTAACATGAACCTTTTATTATGTCTTGAAACAATTATTTGGTACCTATACATTCGTACAAATATTAAACCAAAGCTATAATGCCATTAAAGGTATAAAATGGCTGGGGCTGAAACAAGTGCTTTTTGTGTGAATGAATATGGTATTAATTTAACAACAACTTGCTAATAAAAGGTTAAAGAATAACATTTAGAAAAAATCAATACAAGAATGAAAGTAAAAGTGAGGACGTACATAGATAAAGAAATTTTATTTATCTAAGGGCAAAGGTGAAGAAATTGATAAACATAAAAATAAAAACAAAGATAATTATAAATATAAAGAAAAAGAAGAATTTACAGGTAAAAGTAAAGATGAAGATAGAGGAAGAATGATTAAAATAAAGGTAACTATAGAGAAAAGGATATATGTAGATAGAGCCACAGAGACTTAATCTGGGAACTATTTCGGGGTTCTCGGTAGTTATCGATAGAATAATCGATATTTTTTATCGATTTTTTTATCGATATTTTTATCAATTTTTTTATCGAAATTTTTAGGACTTATCGACATAATCAATATTTTTGTAAATTTTTTTTATCGATATTTTAATCAATTTTCTTATCGATTTTGTAATCGATATTTTTAACGATTTTTTTATCGATAGTGTTATTGATTTAGTTATCCATTATTTATCGATTTTGCTATCGATTTTGAGAATAACGTGTTTAAGGTATTAAGGTTCTATCCTCTTTTGTTTCTTCGCTAAGGCTTCTCAAAAATTGCCAAAAAATCCATTTTTTATTTTGACTGCGTTTTTCTTAAAGTCTGGAGCTGACGGAAGCTTTCTATCGATGAGTTGGTAATCAGTTAAAAAAAATTGTCGATAACAGCTTTAAAATTTACCGCACAAAAAAATTTGTTACCATTTTTTTAACTTGTGTAATAAAAAAAAGGCGAAAGTTCTAAATAACCGCACACTGTGCTTACATTTAATATTTCATAATTTTTCCCAAACTCACGTGGTTGAATGGTATCCCACCTAAAAAGTAGGGTTTTTAGCTTCATACGAATTAGGTCCACCTTAATGTATGTACATATCGGCCAATATTTCCAACTCTGATTAATTAAGCGGCGCTATTTTGGAATTTCCATTGTTGGAACTGTCTTTTAAATGGCCCAGTGCGCAACCCATTACTAGGATAATTCTTATAGATGCTCAGTTATATACATATATAACGAGCCACTTACTCGAAGACAACAGAAGGCCGCTTTTAGCAACGTCTACAGCCAAACAGAAACTCTGGACCTTAGTGAGACCTTGAACCGAATAAGTCGTAGTGGCCCTCCGAGGGCTCCTATCTTTTTTCCGTGACCCAAGGCTTCACATGGTTTCGCTACTGCATCTCGCACGTTGGATGTTCACGTTTGCCAGAATGCGGGAACAGGATTAAGTATAGTCATGCAAGTGAACCTGTATAGCCAGAAAAACAACCATACCCCATTGTAAATTTATACTAGCGATTAATAAGTGTACTAGTGTATTTCCATTTTGAATAATTTTTGATGCACAACAGTTACGGTGGAGTGATCACTTAGTATATTTCGCAGGGTAAGAACATGGCGGAGACGCAGGATAGTAGAGAAAGAACTAAAAAAAGCCGCGATATGATTAAGAAGAAAATAATTAAAAAATTTGCTCCAAATTTGAGGTATAGAAATGTTTGAACGAAATTTGTTCAAAAACCATTTTAATTGATATATTAACCTTTGGCTTAGATCCTCGCTACGCCTTTGCAGTTACCATTGGTGGTTCTAGTGATGTTTTAAACTTCTGTAGAATTTTTAATATTGCATTCATTTCGAAGAAACTGTATTAATAGTCTCATTTGAGTTAATCTAACTTTTCACGCAAAAGTTTTTATCGAAGTTTTATTGGAATAATGAAATAACAGTGAAGCGATTGACCATAACTGCTTTGTTAGTGATCAAACCTCTGCCAATTAATTCGAACTAAATTATTTTTTTGAGATTCCTTTTGTTTCAATTAAATACGTGCCAATTCACGGGAAGTGGTATTTAAACAGATTTCAATGTGTTTTATACCCTTCAAGCCACACTGGCTTACCGGTGGCCGTACTACCTCAACTCACAAAACTATCTTCGATATTATTTAGTAATAAAAATGTTCATAGTCACTAAGGAACAGATTTTTGTGTTTTCTAAAAAATGGGAAATTTTGAGTATATCACTTCTAAAGAACGAGGGCCTATATTCATTTATGCATCTATTTGCATATATTTTTATACCCGAGCGCACTTGTGCACAAGGGTATATTAAT